TTTGTGTTAATGAAAGGCCACTCCGATACCGAACGCTAACGTTTTACTGTCACAGCGTCCTTGTGTAAACAACACATAAGAGTTAAACTCTGGAGACCGGTCCTGCTCCTGACAGGAACCCAAGAGGCAAGAATGAGTCAAATGCTGAGAACACCTTTACCTTAATCTAGGAAGGACCTCTCTGCCTCCCACAGAGGACGCAACACCTTCCTCTGGTCCAGAGCAACAGCCACTGAACACTCAACTGCAAAACAGAGGACGTAATTATCTGCAAATAGCAGAGATGAAATCCTCATACCGTACACCCTCTGGCCCCTGTGGTCCCAAACCAAACTCCCTCCAGCTCTTAGCTGCACATAGAAGTTCTGTCCATAAAAAAGAGAGAATCTTTATTTGTTGTTGTGCTGAAACCGGCACCAAGTTTCAGTGAAAGGAGGGATTATGAGAATAGTGATTGTTTCATTCTCTGTGATAGAACTTTGCCAAAACCAATCTTTGAAGAGACACAAGGCTGCTGATCACAGCTGTGTGCTTCAGAAAGACTGTTCATACAGGAAATAACACAACAAGGCAACACTCTCAGTGAACCAAACATATACTTTATTCAAACCGTATTTACACACGTTTAGTTTTTAACATAATGATGAAGTAACGTGAATCTTTGTTTAAAACAATCTACAAAGAGACTCAGACGTGATATGATTAGATAAAAAAAAAGACAGACAAATAGAAGTGGTTATTTGTGGTAAACCTGTCCTCAGTTTGGCTGTTGTAGCGGAGTCCTCCAGTAGAAGGCGCTGGCACAACGCACATATCACCGAGGCCTTGAGGCTTCTCTTAAAATCCACACAAATAAAATAATATCAATAATTCACGTGGAGAACGCGTGGAGACAATACAGAAATAAAAGTCCCAAAAGCGGCTCCAGAAAATCGACTTGTGTCAGACTCTCCAGTGATAGAGGCCAAAGCAATCCAGACTTAACAGAAAACACGTATGATGCACCGGCGCAGATCTAACGTCATTTAATGATGATGTTTAATACAAGTTTATATTCAGTAAAACTGAACTGACTACATTTCTCCCGAAGACTTTCTAATATAAAAGTTTTTTATTTTAACCCATTCAGACGCTTCATCGAAACGGTAACATCCGGAGAACATAGCAATATATAATATTAATAACCAATGTTCCTTTTATCAATGTGATGTAAACGTTTTCAATGGTATGTTTTTCGACCAGACCCCGCGGGAAGAAGGTGATAAGACAAAAGTGATTTTAGAAAATGGTTTAGAATTCAATTTATAAAGCTATATATATATATATATATATATACCGATAAACATAATACATGAGAAAAATAACGGGTTTAGATTCCTGTTTCTTCTCTGTGTATTTACTATAGATTTCTAGATTTTTGCCATTTTCTTTGTAAACGTTTTAATTGCAGAGGGCTGAATAACTGATTGGAATGTCGTAATATCCACATTTATTTTACATTTATTAACCCTAACCCAACATTCTCCGGATGATATAATAAATCATAATCATCTAAATCTTATTCCAGAAAAAAACTACCTTCATAAAATTAAATCCCTCCTGTTATGGTTTCATGACAGGTGGAAACCTGTTTGTATTCTATAATATAAAACAAAAAATAAGAAATTATTTAAAACAATCACATTTATCGAAAACTGTAATATTAGGGTTGATTAGCAGAGCTCTTTGTGTGTGTGTGTGTGTGTGTGTGTGTGTGTGTCTGTGTGTGCGCGCGCGCGTGTGTGTACGTATAGCGTATGTTTGTTGTTGTGTGTGCGTATATTATTTATTTGATTTTTCAAAATAAAATATAATTTGGTTGACTGATTGCGCATAGATCAATTTTTGTAATCAGTACAACAAACAAGTACAACAAATGTTGTATTTATACTTAATTAAATAATTAATTATAATATTATAATAATTATTATTATAATAATTTAATTAATTAATAATACATAATAATAGAAACACATGTAATTTTAGATGTTATTAATGATCTGTTTAAACAAAGGGAAAACAACAGGAAATATAATTAAAATAATACGGAAATAAAAAAAATAATTATCGTTCGATAATATAGAAAAAAAGCATTGTTATTGATAGTAGAAAAAATTGGCATTTGTTAAAGACACATGTTGAGAACGAAATGAGAGAAGCTTTAGTCGTGGGAAATGCCAGTGTTGTACAGTATACGCAACAGTGGAAATAACAGCAGTGACAGGGGAGAAATGAAAATGACAACAGGCCCTGCTGCTATAACTTTGTGTAATGCATCTCCCCTATTGGTTTATGTTATATAGACCATGCTGAGAGCTGCTCCCAGCATGTTTTTGCCTAAGAAAGCTGATCGAGTCTGTGTGAGGATGGCCCTCTCGTTTCCACTTTTCTGTCAGAAAAAAAGCGTGATAGATAAATGTGACAGAAACCAAAAATACATTTATGGACATCTATTAACATTTATGGACATCGGTCATCAGCCCCATCGATCAATGGCTCTATGTGTTTTTTCTCTGATCTGTGTTGGTGAATTGAAATGAAAAATACAAGAATTTGAAAACAAGTGAGAGAAGCAAACAATGTTGAGACTGGGGGACTCATTAGATTGAGGATTTATAATGGATTTAGATCTTGATGAAAGCACTTTTTGAAAACACTACATTTGAAAACGAGGACAAAGCAAAACTTCTTTCAAGTGCAGTAACAAATTAGTTTATGTTTCAGACTGTTCAATTTTTTAAAAACAAGACATTTGTGCCCGTCCAAATGGCAAATCTTGTTTTAAAACCGATTGGAATGAAATGAAAATGATTTAATCCATTTTAAAATTACTCTTTTTGTATTAAAATATTTTTCTCTTGCTAAGTCCTGGTGTTAACCTGGTTTGTAGTAGACCTGTCCTGGTTTGGACCTGGTTGGTAGTTGTCAAGTCTTGTTTTTTTAGTGGTTTGGCATTTCATTTTTTACAAACATTTAGCAGATGTTGTTTGCAGTGAACCCAAACTCTGCTGAAATTGGGGAAAGTGGGGATCTAAAAGATTCAGCCCTTGTGAAAAATAAGTTGAATAGCGCTGAATTTTTTACAAACATTTAGCAGATGTTGTTTGCAGTGAACCCAAACTCTGCTGAAATTGGGGAAAGTGGGGATCTAAAAGATTCAGCCCTTGTGAAAAATAAGTTGAATAGCGCTGAATAGTGCGATGGATGTTGAATTTCATTTGTTCACTTGACCATACCTGAAACTGCCACAAGGAATCACAAGGAATGAGGTAGTGGTGCTGAACTCCAATGCACAAACAGGGAAAGAATTCGCAATTAATGAATACAAACTGTTTTTTTATTTAAACATTTATTTTTGAAAGAGCAAAATCACATGAAGTCATTTTTATATAAGTGCAAAACAGTCACTTTCCATTCATCCATTTTGTCCCAGCTTTTCTGGACGTCCCCCTCCACACACACATCCTTCAAAAGCACAAATTTATACTCATTCTATTTGAATTGTTGCAAATAAATAACATCTAAACATAAATATATAAATTATGTCCTGAAGCTGAATCTCTGAAACATAGACTGTATATAGATGACTATATGCTGGCTCAATGTGCAAGTTTCATTACAAGGGCTTTTTTTCCTCTGTGTTAGCTTCGTGCTGTTGCTAAGGCAAGCTGGAGTTCCCCCCGCAAATAAAGGCCTCTAATTGGTCAATCCTATATGCCTTATATCTCAATATAAAAATGTAAGCACTAAACTACATAATTTTTTTTTTCCCAAAATGGTGAGTGTGACACAAACAGTTACTGAGCTTTTCAATGTACAGTAAGTCAACAGGAGCAAGAGAGACAAAAAAACATTGTCCTTGAACACCTTCCTATGGGCTTTATTGAGCTAGCGGGTTAGTATTGTCCATCTATATACAGTCTATGATCTAACATGATCGCTGCCTGCAGTGGTAAAGAGTATCATTTGATATTGAAATTCCCCAAAAATTCATGACACTATATAGTCTATATAGAGGATTCATCAAAGTGTTTAAAAACTGAATTTAGAGAGAAAGAACATGTGTTTTTGTCAGTTTGTGGCAGAGGTTTCTGATATTAGCGTCTGTTTTTGATGAGGAATTTTTTTATTTAATGGTAAAAAACTACAAAGCTAGGGTACCTAACTTTTTATTTTATTTTGTTATAATTGTTCATCCCAAAATGTTCTTTCTGTCATCCCAACAGAAAGAGCCGCTCACATTCTCAGATTATAACTGTCCTGTGCTCATTGGCTCATGCTCGGCCCTCCCAAACATTAGCAGAAGTGATGCGTTCTGGCCAGTTCTGATTCTCCTGGTGTTGTGCAGTAGGTGCGCAGTGGTTTTATTTCTGCAGGACCAAAGTAACATGTGAGCATTCCGACCAATCAGAGCGCCGCTGATCTGAGAAGAGCTAGAGCGGGACGAGAGTGAGCCGAGTTTGTAGCACTAAAGTGATTTACAGGAAACAGCCCTCTAGTCTATGTGGAGACGACGTAATATAATATCGCATACAGTAATATCATCCATGGTTCATACACACACACATAGTGGATTTTGGCCTTAAACTTGTGATTTTCTCACTCATCCCTCTGTCTGGCAGTGGGCCTTGAGGTATGAGTGCGGCACAGAGAGATGGATTTTTCTTATTGTTGATCATTTTGTGATTTGAAAATTAGGTAAACCAGCTTTATAAACAAAATTCATGTGATGCTTGTTCCATTGACTACTACATGGTTTAAAATAGTCCATAGTTAAGCAAATATTGACAGATATTAGAGATATCTTTTGGTCTAAAATCATTTTAAAAATACCATGATCCATTAGCTGAAAAGTCAATTCGACACAAAACAAGAAAAAAAAAATTGTAATCCAAGTCTCTTAAACTCGCTGAGCTTTTCCCTCTTCGTCGCGTATATAATAATAATAATAATATTAACTTTCATGGCGGGACGAGGAGCTGGCTGCTCCCCTTGTCCAAAGTCCGAAGTCCAAAGTCCCGCGTGTATGCTCCGTTCAGGGAGAGGTTCGGGTGTAAGTGGTTATAATGCTGGTAAATATACGCTGGTGCGATGTAAACCGGTCTGCTGAGGCTGGGCCCCTGGAGGATGGGGCCCCGGCTTCTGTCCTGGGACGTGGCCATTTCAGCCAGAGACCACAACTTGGGTTTGGGTGTGTCCGCGGGGGCTGGTGGGGGGCTGGTGGGTGGGATAGGAGGAGGGGGTGTGGAGGTGGTGGTGGTGGAGAGGGAGGAAGGTTGAGGATGAGGGCTGCAGTGCGGAGAGGCCTCAGAGGACAGCGGGTCGGAGGGGAACCAGGGAGCAGACGAGACCGGAGCTGTGGAAAGAGGAGAGCGTAAACAGATGAGTTTGAAAAACACATCTGTTTACGTAAAAAAAAACACAATTGATCATAGAGTTTAGGACGGTTCATCTTGTCTTCTTATTAAATAGTTATTTTGTTCTTCTACACAAGACAAAAGAAAAGGGGAAATAAGAGAAAACGAGAAGCAAGCCACAGTTCTATTGGCTTTGACTTATGTTATGTCAGAGGAAATGTTGTTGCTCTTTCTTTAATTACATTTGTGATGGGTAATTGTACATAAATTGTATGTTTTTCAACAACCTCAAATTCATGTTTTCAATGTATTAACAGAACTGCTTATTAGCCAACAGCAGATCAAGCCAAAAGCAAAAACAGCTGGAGTCATTGGTCCATAGTAGGTGTGCACCGATCACATTGACTTGTGATAATTGTATAACCCTCTTTTTATTAGTATTTATGTTTTCGGAAAGAGACTTGGGAGGTGATAGGGCTGTGTTTATCTGTAATGAATCTATGATTTTAGAGGAGAATTGTGTGAACAAACACAAAGCACCTGCTCCAACAGAAGCCCCGCGAGTGGTGCGAGTAACACTGCACACAATGAAGCTGTCAGTTTTTACACACAGACAAAAGAACGCAGAAAATAGTGACGGGTGAAAAGCCACAAATTTGCAGAATGAGGGGCGCACAAGCAGGGGCCTTTACACCATAAATTATTTCTAAAGATAGAATGTGCTAATGTGTTAATCAGTGATTTGCACATTTTGCAAATCACTGATCATGTAATTTTCCCTGTGATCAGCTCGATTATTCCATAGGATTACGAGTTGCCATCATCCTGTGTGTTTAATTGTCTCAAATTAAACCCCTGTCCTTAAACCAACATCCGCCTAGACAATTTATTGAATTCAACTTATTTTCTTCCCAATTCTAAATAATCCAGACTATTTATTGAAATCAGAAATAGTGTTGGCCCGAGTGCAGAACCCTGGGGGTTTCCACACACATGTTCTCAAGTTTGTGTCTTATCTGCACAATATCAGTTTCTTAATATTCGAGAGTTACTCACGGTCGCCCTCCCCCCTTTCTGCGTCCGTCTCCTCGTCCTCATCTTCGCTGCGATTTCGTGGTGTCCAGCTCATCTTGTTCTCCTTCTTGAGGCGGCGGCGAGCGTTGGCAAACCACGTGGACACCTGTGTGAGGCTCATCTTGGTGACAATGGCCAACATGATCTTCTCTCCCTTCGTGGGGTACGGGTTCTTCCGGTGCTCGCTCAGCCAAGCCTTGAGGGTGGCCGTGGCGTCGCGCGTGGCGTTCTTACGGAAGGCCGGGTCCACATACGGGAGGCAGGGGCCAAGCGGAGCGAAGGCGTGGAAGTCCAGAGCCGAGGAGTCGAAGCCCGGACTCTGCTGAGACAAAGTAGAAAATCAGATTGCCTGGCTGGATGCGTATTCCGACGCCGCACAGAAATTAATTTAATTTGATCAGAATTTGAATATGTTTTGTCAGTCAAACAATAATTGACAATGGGAGAAAAACTCATGTCTTGTTTTTAAGGTGGGGTACCTAATTTTTAAACCACACTGTAATAGCTCTAAACTAGTTCTATCACTAATTTTCACTTAAATGTATTTCTGGCCTCTGTCACATCTTTAGATCAGCTTTTTCAGACAGAAAAATGATAAGAGAGGACCACCCTTACTCAGCCAATCAGCCCAAAGAGTCCAGTAGTGACTCAAAGGGCTCTTTCTAACACAAAGGTAGCATGTTTTCTAGATGTTACATGTGGTCTGATTTTTGTCATAACATTATGCTTTTAAAACTCTTCCTGTTTTAAGAGTTAAGTAATCCAGCCTCAGATGTACATTTATTTTAGTAAAAGTCAATGGGAAAAGCGAAAATGTCTTGTTTTTTGTCCTATTTGCAAATCTAGTTTTCTGACAGAAAAAAGTAAGTAAACCACAGTTGATTCAAGCAAAAAGTTTTTACATACGTTTTGTATTTTTTTTTTTCCAAAAGACTAAATTAACAATGCCCTGGTTACGCACGCGCGCACACACACACACACACACACACACACACATTGAACACGATAGAGATCTCCTTATATTTTTCAAAACAAGGGGTCACTTCTTCAGCACCTTGGACAGCTCTGGTGTGCCTGCGTGTGTTTGAAGTGTACCAAATCAATGAGTTTTAAGAAAGTTTCATATTACATCTACTTTATTTAAAAGTATGACTCGCCTGGCATAAGATTAAAATTATAGATATACAGTATATTTTGTCAGATTGATTTGCTGTATACCTGGGAAACCGGATCCTGCAGATCTGGGGGAAGAGATTCTCACAACGCTGTCATCCATTTTCAAATATAATATCCATAGTTTTAAATTACAATTGACACAAGTAAAACCGTTACAATTATTATGAATTTGTTTTTATATTCAATAAAAGTCAAATTTCACACAGACGAGCTTGTGTCCAATGGTAGCACCTCTGCATGTGTTCTAGTGTTTGATTCCGTCATTCATTTTCATCTCCTATAGCAGAGTTTGACCTAATAAATCATTCATCCATTTTCTTCCACTTTTTTTGTTGCCGGTTCGCGGGAGTAGCCGTCCAAGCAGAAACCCCCAGACTTCCCTCTTCACATACATTTTCTCCTGCTCATCCCGGGGTTATCCTAAGGCATCCTGGCCAGCTCAGAGACTTTGTTCCTGCAGAGTGTCCTGGCTCTTTCCCTGGTCTTCTTTCAGAGGCACATGCCCGAACCACCTCCCAAAAAGATGCCGGAGCCACCTCAACTGGCTCTTCTCAATGTGGAGAAGCAGTGGTTCTACTCCGATCTCTAAGGGAGCGCCTGGCAACTCTGCGGAAGATCTTGTCCTTTCGGTTATTACCCAAAGCTAAAGACCAGAGATAAGGGAGGGGACATACTGTATGATATAATAATTATTTTATTTTACATTTTAAGGTAAGTTAGAAGTGTATTTTAGCGCATTTCATTTCCACAAATTTCACTGAGATGTATACTGCCACGGATATTTTATAACAGCCTTCATTACTTCTACGAGACTTTTTTTTCGGTTGGTTTTTTTATGAAACAAAAAATAGGAACTCCAGCTTTGGTAACTTGAATGTGAGAGGTAAGGCACAGAAAGGCACTATTCCGTGCGGGATTCGAACCCAGGACCTTCTTGCTGAGAGGCGAGAGTGCTAGCCAAAAAAAACAGCTTACAAAGAGATAATGAATACATACACATGCTTAGATTAAGTACAAAACATCTTGATTTTAATGTAGGAAGTATAATAACATAAATTATTATGGGTGGCACGGTGGCTGAGTGGATAGCACTCTTGCTTCTCAGCAAGAAGGTCCTGGGTTTGAATCCTGACCGGAACAGGGCCTTTCTGAGTGGAGTTTGCATGTTCTCCCCGTGTCTGCGTAGGTTTCCTCCAGGTACTCCGGTTTCCCCTTCCCCCAAAAACATGTACAATAGGTCTGGCATGCCTGCTCCCAGCTCTGTGTGGAGTGAGAGACAAATGCCCACAGTTGTAAACCGCTTTGTGACTCTGGTCTGTGAAAGGCGGTATATAAATAAAGATTACTTAAATGATTCATCTTTTTAAAAGGGACAAGTTTCTTAGCCTAATTTTTTTCTTAGTGAGAAATTCCGTCTTTTTGCTCCAACTTCTACTGAGAAATCTGCTTCACAACAAAACAATTTAAAGTATTTGTGTATCACACTAAATCAGAACAGCACAGGGTCTCGAAGGTCTTTACAAAGTTGTCCATTCCTCAACCAGATCAGAGAATCAAACAGATCAAACACAGGATATACAATAGTCACATAGAGGCCATTGGTCCTTGGGGGGCGAGATGATCACTGTCCAGAAATGTTTAAAAATAATTCCACATCAGCAAGAAACGTCTACAAAAAAATCAGACAGCACAACACACTAATATTTTCAAATAAAGACAGAAAACTTTATGAACTACTTAATCAAACATTTCTTCACTAGACTTTTATAATTTTGGAGTATTTTAAGTCTCGTCTTGAGACCCCTTTTAAATCCTGTATTTTAACACCTCTGGTCTTCTGCCCTCTTTTGATGTTTTTTTGCATCTATTTTAATTTTAAAAAGGATAACTAATTATAAATGTATTTAATTGATGTATTCATTAATGTCTACCGTTTTATAATTTTTTTTAACTTTTTTTATTCATAGCTATTCTTATCATATTACATTTTTACATGATTTGATGGACGCGAAAGTGGATTGTAATATTTTCTCATCTATGTGAAAACTGTTAAATAAGTGGATTGGATTTGTATGTACTCTTATTGCTGAAATTTTTTTTGGACTTTAGTATAAACCTTTTTAAAAACTGTAAAAAATAAATATAAAAAAGCCTAGACTTAATGCTAAATATTGAGTAAAATTGGCGCATGGAAATAGGATCTTTTTTATCATTCAATAACCGAACACTTTAACTTTAGAAACATGTTATTTTCTTATTGACTTTTAGCACTTGTTTGAAATTAGGATTTTACAGAAACCTTTGGAAATCTATGTTTTTGAGTTGAGCTGCCCATTGCGTTTTTAGTAGACTTCAAAAACATATAACGTACATTTCAAGGGTCAAAAATAAAAATCCCAATTACACTGCAAAAACACATTAACAGCATGTTCGTCCATGGGGGCGGATCCGTCTCTCAATATGGGCCTCCCCAAGGTTTCTCACATTTTTTACCACTGGGTTTTTTGAGTGGTTCAGTTTTTTTCCAAATTCAAGATTTTATTGCCATTATGTGAAATTTTTTGCAGTATAGAAATTGTGCAGCCCGGGTTTTAAGTTCAGCGGTCCCATTGGTGCAGGTCACTCACCAGGAAGTTGCTGATGGCTGAGTTGGTGCGTGGCTCGCCTCCTCCGTAGTGTTGTCCGGGTGAGTACGGGGCAAAGGCCGAGCCCTGGTGACCCGCACGGGGCCCCAGCAGAGCGGGAGGAGAGCTGAAGACGAAGCCCGAAGGATACACGGCCATGGCTCAGGAGCATCTCTGAGAGAGCCATCCACGGACCAACAGCTCTGCTCACTCTGACTGAGGCAGGGGGAAAGGAGGAGGAGGAAGAGGGGGAGGAGGAAGCGGGAGAGATGAGAGTGGAGGAAGGAGAGAGGAGGGAGAGAAAGAGGAGTGGGATCAATGGAGAGAAGGGAAGGAGGAGGAAGAGGAGTCAAGGAAGGAGAGGAGTGGGGATGAATGGAGAGGGGGGAGAGAGAGAGAGAGAGGAGCGGGGAAGAGGAGGAGAGGCCTGCCCTATTCAGCACATACATAATTTTTTGCTGATCGAGATGTGACAGAGGCCAAAAATACAAACGTGATAGAACTGTGAGACTGTTGAGAGCGAGGAACTAGTTGGATGGATTTAACTACATAGCTCCATTTTTGTGGTTGGAACGCATGCTTTAAACCAGAAAAAATAGAGGATAATGGAAAAAGCTTTATATACCGGTGTCATGTCATCTGTGCATACAGTCCCATACAAACATGATGATGGCAGTACTTCCGCTGTGGAGCAGACAAAAGAGTCAAACGTGCACACTCTGCTGTAATGAACTTTGGAGAGCAGCTTCAGTGACAGACTGAACCACCTGTGTGAAGGAAAAGTTTCATAGGTCTTTCAGTCCTGCTGCTGTCAAACTGTACAATCTGAACTGCTGAGGCTCAACTAAGTAAATAGTAAATACTGCAACAATGTGTGTGTGTGTGTGTGTGTGTATGTGTGTGTGCGTCTGTCAGTGTGCCCCAGGGCAGCTGTGGCTTTATCACCAGTTGTGTATGGACTGAAAGAATAATGACATGTGAAGCGTCTTTGAGTGTCCTGAAAAGCACTACATAAAACCTGATGCCTTATTATAATATTATTATTGTGTATACTGTATGTGTGCCTGTGTGTGTGTGTGTGTGTATCTGTGTACCGTCTGTGTATACATTTGTGTGCCCCTGTGTGTGTGTGTGTGTGTGAGAGAGAGAGTGTGTACTCCCTGCTGTTTAATCCCATTTGCAGTTCTATAATTATCTTTGTTCGTCCACAGAGACAGGGGAGAGAGAGTGCAGCTCAGAAGGACACACACATCACAACCTCGAGTGAAACTGAAGCTACTGCAGAAGAGAAACATTTTTCAAACCACAACAAATGAAATATGTAATTAAATCCCTCTAACTCGTTCCTTGCTCTCAAAACGCTCACTAGTTTTCACATGCATATATCTTTTGGCCTGTTACATTTTTAGAACAGCTTTTTCAGCTAATAGCCCAAAGATTCAAATAGTGTCTCACAGGATGCAAAATAATGTTTTCTGATTTGTTCAAAACAACAGCTTTCAATGGCGCTGGCACAAGCTGAAAGATTATTTGAAATAAAAAAAAAAAAAAAAAAAAACTAAAGACTTCACAGAGGTGATGGGAGAGTCTGTGAATATCTAAATATTATTGCTTGCTAATTAATAGAGACTGTTTTTCATGGAGCTTCAAATATGCTAACAAGTGCACTTTAAAACTGCCTTCAGAGGCATCAACTTGCAGTGAATAGAAATACCATCTAATACATTGGACTTTGGTCTGTAAATAGGCCGTATGTTCATGCCATTTTAGGCCTACGTGTTCCTTACATTGAAGCCATACGGTTCATTCTGCTATGTCATGTTTCCAAAGTCTATGTGTTTACATCATCTTTTAAGGCCTATATAAGCGCCATCCTCTGTGACAATCAGACTTTGGCAGAGCTGTAGAGACTTTCACAGAGTTATGTAGACTCTTGCTAGACTTCTGCAGGGGCGCCCATGGACCAGACTTTGGAACTGTCTAGGATCTTGCTTAAAACTGATAATAAATGCCAATTGAACAATGCAACCTGATGTCTCCTTGTCTCATGTCTAAGCTAAAATTAATTCACAAGTCCATCAGGAAGGGCGGGGGTGGGAGGACAGTGGTCTTTCTGAAGTCCACAATCATCTCCACTGTCCTTTGGGTATTCAGCTCCAGGTTGTTACCCATGCACCAGGACAGATAGTATCTTGTTTCCACAAGATACTAAAATAACATGAAGCAGTTTCTCTTGCTTATAATTAAAGTCCTGTTACCACCAGCCCTATTTAGCCCTACTCAGGTAGTTTTACAGTGCCTGCTTGGCCCTGCGTCTACCCAGGTCGAGCTGGTACTAAATTCTTCTGATAGTAGTAATCTTTATTTATATACCGCCTTTTCACTGCACATCGGTTTACAATTGTTTTTTTTTTTTGTGAGTGGAGTGGAGGCACATGCCAGACCTATTGTACATATTTTTAGTGGTAGGGGAAACCTACGCAGACACAGGGAGAACATGCAAACTCCACTCAGAAAGGCCCTGGTCCAACCGGGATTCGAACCCAGGACCTTCTTGCTGAGAGGCGAGCGTGCTATCCACTCAGCCACCGTGCCGCCCATAAACTTGCAGTGATTGGTTGGCTTTTCCATGTGGAGACGGGTTCAAGCAGCAATATTATAGATATATACTTTATTGATTCCCGTAGGAGAAATTCAGGTGTCCAGTAGCAGCAAAAAACTCATCCATTCACAAAACAAAACAAATAAATGTATTATTCTGAAAAGCTAGCAATAGTAATGATAAGAAACAGCACTTCAGGTCACAGCAGCAGAGGTGGGCCATCCGCTGGGGGTGGAGCAGGACAGGTAACAGCAATGAAGATGGTCTAGTAAAATGCTAAATGCTTTGTTAGAATTTTTCAAAAAGTTAGCCTTCCTCCAGTGGATTTTTGTCTCATTCGCTTGTTTTGGACCATGAATCCTCTCCGCTCCTGTCTGGACCAGTAAAAAACCATAAACACTGTACTGCAGTGTTCTACACATTTCAGGTAGAAAAAAAGCAAGAAAATAACAATTGCAAAGCACAAAAACAACAACTATTTCAGAGCTACTTAGCGCTTGCTGCCATTTCCAGCGCATTCAAAAGCATTATCCAGATTCTTGGGGCAGACGTGTTGGGGCAGACGTGTTGCTAACATGAATGAAGGCATTTGATTGATCAATCCTCATGTCTGGATATACAAAGACATGCTCAAAATGGTGAGTGAGAGTAACAGAAACGGTTACTGAGGTGGAGGAGCTTACTTTTCCATGTAACTTAATAGGAGAGTGAGTTAGAGCAACACTTTGTCCATGAGCATTTCCATATAGGGCTTCATTGAGTTAGCAGGTTAGCATTGTCCATATTTATACAGTTTATTATTTCAATACTGAACAAGGACACCAGGCACCAGTTACAAAGACCAAACTACAAAGAACCACAAAGAACCACAAAGAGCCACATACACAAAAGTCTCTACTATCATTTCCAGTTGGTGTACTTTCCATTTTTCATCGCCCCTGATTGTTCAAAGCGGTTCATTTTGACAGTTTTTCTCCACATTGTGAAGACGGCTTTAATCGTGAATCTAATCCACATTTATACTGTATTTTTCCGTCCTCCTGGAGCAGACATAGCTTTGATCAGCATCTGACAACTTTTCTTACATGTTTTCGTTTTCATTCATCATATTTTTTATTGGGTTATTGGGAGAACTGCAGGCAGGTATAAAAAAATATAATCCTTGTGAATGTCACTGATTATAAGTACATTTTCTTTATTTTGTTTATGTCTGGAATCAACATTACGGCAAATTTGGTTTGCTGTAAACTTATACAGTATAAGATAAGAGAACCTTAATTAGAAATGTTGACATTATGATGTTGCAGCGGGCATACAGAACAGTAGTAAGAGCATGCAAAGAGCACACAACAAATATAGAGATAAGGAGCTGTGAATGCTTCTTAACTGGCAGTAAATGCTTGAAAAAAGGGCCGAAAGTAAATACTTTTTAAAAACACACACACACACACACACACACTCACACCATTCACCCTCGCCGGACGGTTATCCCTCTCTAAGTTTAGGTCCTCTACCAGAGTTCTGGGAGCTTAAGGGTTCTGCGCAGTATCTTTGCTATTCCTAGCACTGCACATTTCTGTGATTCAACCAAACACTTATGTACTTATAAGAGTCCACTCTCTCAATGTCCCTTCCCTGGATGTTCTCTGGGACTGGAGCGGCAGAGTGACATCTGTGGAAATCCATCACCATATGGTCTTCCCCACGTTGATGAGGACATGGTTCCACTGACACCAGTCCACAAAGTCTTGTGTTCGTCACAAAGTCCTGTATTAGTCACAGTATGATAAATTGGCACAATCTGGAGAGTTAGCAAATGACATCATGAGACCCATAAAAACAGGAGCTCCCAGAGATGTGTAGTAAACAGCTGCACAACAATTACAGTCTTATTACAGTTACAATAAGAGCTGTGTCAAAAATCTAATGATGAAAGAGGTGTGTGCAGTAATGTGGTGTATTGTGGTGACACCATATACACTGTAAATATTAAAGGATGTAGTGATGCCTATTTCCTCTTTTGAAATGTATACGTGTCCAACATGCACAGATTTAATATGGCCTCGAGCAGCTCCTCCCGCAGGAAAATGTGAAAAAAAACGTTTGAGCCTGGACACATGCCATTCATTTATTGAGTAAAAAGTCCACAGCAGGTGAACTAGGCTGGTCCAAAAAAAACATCAGCATTGACACACATCTGGAAAGTAGCATTGAGCAAAGAACCGACTTTTGGACCAGGCTGTAAAGTTGTTTTTGAGGGGAAAAAAGGCCTCATTTCAATTCCTTCGATAATTCTGTTTCCGGGTATGCCACCACAGGCAAGGAGTCAGATTACAAGAATGTCAGCGCATGTGCTCATGGACCCTTTTGAGCCAGGACCCGCCCCCACTGGGAGACACCTGAATTAAAAGGTCAGACCGAAGAGGAGTTTCTGGGACCTGAAGACCATCTACGACTCTGATAAAGATATTTTGATAAAGAAAAGCAGTTGAAGACAAGCAACATATGTTTTTACGTCAATTCAGACTTGTGTTGTCTATCACAGTGAATAATTTAA